AGATAGATCGCACAAGAAATGCCAAAGAATTCCTAGAAATGTAATATTTAAGACAACCAGCAACCAGTGGGTGCAAATATATGAAATAAATCGATTGTCAGATAGAAACAATGATAAACCCCTTGAAGGTCACAAGTCAGGTGGGTGAAGGATACAACAATCAAACAAAACAACCAATCACATGCTTCGTTTGGTTGTGTTAAAGTTTCTGCCAGTGATGTTGTCTAGAAAGTCAATGAAGGATTCACAATTAAGATGACCGCCTGAGAGAACATACCACAAACAAGATTATCCACCTGAAAAGCGATTATTATCTACCATTTTAAAATCATACATACAATTTTCCCAAACGGGTTACTGAATCACTCACGAAGATAGCCTGGTTGTCGAGGGGAGAATGCAAATCAATTAACAGTTCAATTCTTGAACATTTGGTCAACTCTGGACATAAAGCTAGACCAGAATCCTCCTTCAATTTCATTTATCGTGTCAGATTGAATAGTTCAAAAGGAGCACGCCTTAGAAAGTTATGCACAGCGGAGGCACTGGCAATTCATCAATTCAAGTTTGATCCTGCGTGCAAAAGAAGTATATTCAATCGCTCATCTTACCATGGTCTTAACACTCACTTTTTTTCGATTTCATTATAATTAATTATTTGATTATTATTATCACCCTCACTATGACTCTTGTCTCATTCTTCATCTTCTTTACATCCATCTGTCAAGTGGACACTCAATATTTGCGTTTCTTATCTATCAACAATTTCCACCTTGTCAAACTCCTTGTCTTCCTCGATATTTCTACTGTCTTAGTTTATTACGCAACTACTTTACATTCTTGATTCCGGTTTTTTCTATAGGACTAGGTTAATGATGTAATTATACCCTATTGTTTTATAGTAGACTGTTATATGTTTATGATATACATAAATACGTTTGTACAGCTTTAGAAAATGATATCTTTGAAAAAGAAAATTTTCTTCCCTGAATAACCTCAATAGAATGTACAATACCGATAAGATGCGTTACCCAGTCTATCCCATTATGCTGATACTTGACGTCAGAAACATACCAATGTAAGAGCCATCAAAATATTCAGCCACAATATTGTTTCCTTTTAGAAATCTCTAAAAATCCAAGTTGACCAAATATACAGATAAAGAAAGTAGAAAATATTCAAATTTTAGATGTGATGCACCTCCATACTAATATACAAGTTAGTAGTCTGGCTAGAATGGTCAGAAATAAAATCACCGCTGGAAATGAGCTCAACAACTAAACAACGGTGCTGACTCAAGAAATCATTCCTGGGGTACAGTTGTCTCCAAAATAACCGGAATCTTCAAATTCCAAGACAAAATATAGTAATATACAAAAAGGAGTAGCAGTGATATCTCCAACAGCCCCAAACGCGGCAGATATTATGATGAACGGTTGGAAACGAATGGCATTAGGAATATTTCAACTCATCAAAAACGTACGGTAGTAGGCCAGACAACCGTTGTATTGAAATCAGAACCTATACATATTTTTTAAGCATATAAACTCCATAGTAGATGCAGTCCACTTTACCAGAGAATAAGAAAACTACAGAAAAGAATTACTTCTATTGGATTGAAAATTACTCAAAGACATGATGGTTCAGACACCAGTGTTTACAGAAAACCATTACACTTAAATCAGTACTTAGATTCCACATCGTCTCATCCTACACTTGTCAAGGTAGGCTTGGTAAAATGTCTCAGCAATCCAGATAGAAATCTGGCTGATAAATCATAAGATTTTATTAAGGAACTGAAGTATGCGAAGGAGACATTACTATTTAACAGCTACCCCCTGGCGTTTTTTAAAGTGTATATAAGAACTTATCGGCCAAATGGACATGACAATTTTAGTAGCATACCCAACATGTTTAAAACAGGATTTAAATCCTCTGCTGTCATGCCATATAAAGAAAGGACATCGGAAAGTCTACGTAGGAATGTGAACGGAACTGGAATTAGGGTGCCATTTAAACCCATGAACTCACTCAAGAGAAACTTGACAACAGACTGAAGAGCAGTTTAGCGAAGAGACTATTTTCAGCTGTTTCATTCACGAAGCTGTACTTTGGTAACTACATACTGCAGGGTAACCCATTTCGTTTTGTCTAGTTGTGAGTGATTACTGGATTGTATCTATCATTTTCCAGTGCGGCCACCAAGCTAGAAGGCTCACCATTGCGGTTCATATGAACAGACATTAGTTGGTTGGAAGGATGTCCTGGATTTAGGTTTCGTGCTTGCTGCCACTCCTCATCACGGCGTATCTGTGACATCACTTCCCTTGAGGTTATTGCTACACCCTACTGAAGAGTGCCAATAAGCACGAATCCTAGGTCTGGTGTTTCCAGGTGATTGCCTCCAGCCAACTAACAATAAAAGTTGCTAGGGATAGTGATTATCAGTCATGGTTTATTACAGATTGGCTCCTATGACAAGGAGTTGCGCAATATTGTAAAAGTACTTGAAGAATGATTTATCATCAAAAGTTTATTACACAAGGAACTTACAGAAGCGAAGAAGGAAAAAGAGAGGCGTTCTGAAATGTTAAAGTTTAGGACCATGAAAGCAGAAGAGGTTGTAATAGTTCATTTTTCAGGCGAAGCTCTGGATTTTCAGTGTAGGTAGCTGCAGTTCTGACAATACAAGTAAGGCGAAAGCGTTAAGCCCTTTCACGTTGTACATAAACTTTCAAAGCGGAAGTTGTCGAGATTGTCCGGTCGGTGTTGACAAAGTGTTCAATTATTTCACTCATTGTGGAACCTCTTGATGTACTATGTTCATGGTTGGGTGAATGGAGATTATCGGTAGTAAACCTTTCTTCACCTAGTTTCATATTAGATTTGATTATTTGGTTTATTACTGGATGACGTTTCCAGCATAAATTATTTACTACTCATAATCATATCGATGTAATCACACCACTTTCAACATCTGATTTTTATAGTTCTGTTACCTCTTATTCTTTGTTTTTATTGGTAGTAAAATTCTCCATATCTCTGGTGTAGGCTTCGCGTCATTTCTATTACATGTGTTGGGTGTTGATTCGACATACAGAGATTCAGTAATCAGTCTCTCGACCTCTCCACCTAACTATACTTGACTTAAGTACAGTGGTTTAATCCCACCTTATGGTATGTGGTTGTGTATCAATGCGTTCGATCCAATGGCTGAGTTATTTTCGACATTATTGAACTTATTCGGGTGTGTCATTCTATATTTATCTAAATTCCGATGTTCGGCTATTCTAACTGACCCCGACCGGCTAGTTTGACCTATGTGCTTGACCTCGTAGTCATTACATGGAATTCAATAGATTATATGGTTTTACTTAATTGGATCTATCGAATCCTTAAGCCGACAAAGCTTGTCTCTGAGTGAGTTTGTAGGTTGAAATGTCACCCTAATTACAGCATTGTTGAGGATCTTAAGTAAAGTTTCTGATGTGCCTTCCTTATAGGGTAACTCAATATAGGCTGTGAACTCTTCTACTCGTGCTGTTGTTATTATTCGTACTCGTGTTACTGTTATTATTTCGTTTCTTGTGTGTCCATTGAATCTCTTAATCAACTGCAGAAAACAGTCATTAACTATTAGCACATCTCTGATGGGTTTCAGTTCCTTGTCTGGGTCTTTGTACTGGCTAGTCAGCTTTGTAGATCTATCATTTAAACATCTGACTAAACCTGCCTGAACTGACGTTGGATGAGTCGATTAGAAGTCTTGACACCTATAAGAATGTTTTGGTTTTCTGTAAACAGTAATATCCAAACCATCGTCTGTCCTTCATTTTATCTTGCAATCCAACATAAGTAATTCTCCTTGTTCATCTTTTACCCGGTAATTGAACTGGATTGTGCCTGCTACTGAGTTTATATGTATGAGGAAATTGTCGACATGTTCCCATTTCAACACATTGAATGTATCATCCACATATCCCCACCATATTTTTGGTGCAGGACCGAACGTTTGCAAAGACGTGTTTTCCCAACTATCCATAAATATCTGCTAAGATTGCGGATATTAGCTATCCCATTACTACTTCTTCTGTTTGACTGTATATTTTGTCCTGAAACTTAAAGAGTGCGGTGGTGATGCACAACTGTACGCCTAATACGATCTCATCAACCAACACCTTAGTTCCGTAAGTTATGAGTCAATATTTAGTTGATTTCTGACTGCCTCCAGTGCCATATTGACTGGTATTTTAGTATAAAGGTTGGTTACATCGAAACTAAACATTTTTTCATCCTCTTTTATATGTAGATCATTTAGCCTTAGTTTTAACTCGTAAGAGTTTACTAGTCTGAAGTTTGAACGGTTCCTAATAGAATGCTAAGTGCTCTGCTAGTTCATATGTTGGGGTATTTCAGAAGTCAACTATGTTTCTAATGGGATTATGAGTTTTAGGCACTTAGTTAAACCAGTTAAACTCACTTACAGATGGTTTAGGCGGCATGTCAAATCAGCTGTAGATTTCTTAGCTTTACTCATGACTACTGCTAGAAACAAGTAATACGAGGTGGCATAACTATAAAAATCAGATGTCGAAAGTGGTGTGATTACATTGATACGGTTATGAATAGTAAATAATTTATGCTGGAAACGTCATCCAGTAAATAATACCGTATTACTGCGTGTTATAAACCAAATAAACAAATCTAATATGGAATTGAATTCTACCACAGTGAAAATGTTTCTCACTTATATCTTCACCTAGATTTCATGTTTGCTGTAACTAATCAGTGAAAAGAGTCTGCAATTCTTAGGAAATTCCTTTTGTTTCAAAGGCATGAGCTGTCTTTTGATCAAGTCTGAGGCATGTTCACCAAATTGTGTTGCATGATACTGTGATGCGCAGCTTCCTGATATCTAATATCAAAATACTACACAATAGTTTCACATTACTTAACTTGATCGATGAGCTTCAGTCAACACTTTATCCTTGATATCCAAACCCGGTACCATTCATTGGTTAGTGCGCGTACATTGGTTAGTTTACTGTTCATTCCTTACCTTATCACTCATGATGTACTAGGCTTGGCTAGCGAAGTCCAGTAGTCAATGTTCTGACTACATACACGTTCGATTTCAACCATTTACTTCTCCATTTAACCATAAAACAACGACTTCCTCACGAAAATGAATTCTTTAATTATTTTTACACTATAACATCATTATCGGCGATTTCCGTTTAATCATAAATTACTTAGGCCATAATTCATGGTATATCTCAAAATGATGGTGGAAAATTAAACCTTGAACATTGAAGGAAACAACCATCTATGTATACTTAAACAAGAAATTTAAATAATGAAACAAAATTCTACTTTAGTACAAACACCTTGCTGGTGGGCTTTTAATGAACATATCGAAGAGAGAAATAAGAGTAAATAGAACGGAAAAATATGGAAAGGAAAAGGAAAATCAAAGCTAATCAATTAAAAAAGTCCACTGAATTGGATAAGATTCATAGCAGAACAAATCGCAAGAGTTGATTGTGCGATCATGGCTTAACCAGAAATCATTTCTAGAAGACACTGGATTTTAACTTATTGAGTTGCTATAGCCGTTGAGTCCTTTTGTAGGTTTGCTTGCATTCGAACTTGAAATCTCGGTGCTGAAAGCGGTCGTTGAATTGGATCAGTGTCATAATTATTTTCACCACTACAAATGTTGTCGTCAGTAGCATAATCTTCACGGTTTCCATCTGTCATTCTCTGGCTTAATCTGTCTAAGAATGAAGATGATGAGGCACTATATCCTGGTGGGAACACTCTATAAGGATCGTATTTCATATGCGCCAATGAACGACGTCTTAACATTTCTACAGCTTGTAGACGACGTTCACGCGCTGTAGGAGTCTCATGATGTAGAAGAAATGGTGATATACTCGCTGGTGTATGTATTTCATCATCAACTCCATCCCCTCCATTTGCTTCTTCATGATGACTAACAGGACTTCCAAAGTCAAAACCTTTTTCTCGATTAAGATTATTAATGTCACTTGCCAGTGATATGTGATGTGAATCTTGTACATCAGTATGAAGACGTATCAACTCAGAAAAGTATGAAACTAAATTCTTCACATTTGGAATCGGTGTATCACGATTTTGAACTAAATTTGGAAATAGTTCAGTAGCTGCTACAGTTGATGTATTCAATGTATCAGTTTTGTTTAACTGTGTAGTTGAAAACAAAGAGTTAATATCTCTAAAATTTGACAAATTACTAGATATTTTACTGTTCATGTAGCGTATTTCAGCTGCTGTTAGCGTGGATGCTCTCTTCTTCCTACCATTTGATAATATTCCTTCAGTTTCGCATGTTTTTGGTTTAGGTGGTACACGTGGAGGTGCTCTCAATGATGTCAGTGAAACGCTTTGACTATCAGAATCAATATTCAGACTTAGAGTTGGAGATACTTTTTCTTGTGATAATTTGAATTGAGTAGAATTTTTTCCATTGTTATTTAATACTTTTGAGCCTTTAATTGTAATAACACGTTCAGTGTCAGTTTTACGATAGCCAATAGGCGTTGATCTAGATGCACTTGAGTCCAATGTCTCTGAAGATGTATTCTTCTCAGTACCATTTTTATGATATGATTCAGCCTTCACAAACTCTGTCTCTTTATTCATCAATTCAGTTAGTGGTGGATTCTTCATGTCACCTTTTTCACTGATAACACTGTTATTACCATCATTGTCGTTACTGTTACTATAGTGATTTACGTTATTTACAAACTCTAGTTTGATTTCATTCTTAGAAGTATTCGCGTAATCAAACTCTGGTACATTTCTGGGTGAACTGTCTTTGTTGATCTTTTGATTTTGCTCACCGTTTTGTTGCGAGTTTGTCATCTGTTTTATAATCTCTATTTTCGGTTGATTTTTTGCTTTATACTCATGCCGCTGTTTATATTGTTCTCTCTGGTGTTGTTCACGAGGCGACAATGACGGTGATGTTGTAGGTTGGTTAGTGGATTTCAACTTCACCTGCTGGTTATCTTGTCTACTAAAAGTCATTCGTGAACGTGTCCAGCCAATATCAGCTTCTGCGTAATCACTAACGGTTACTGCGACATCAGCTTCATCAGAATACTTGGACAGGTTAAGCATTAATAAATCTCTATCTTGGTATTCATCTGGTGGAAGAGGTGATGCAGTTGCTGAATTTGCTGTATCTCCCAAGGTTCCTATTTGTATCCACTGGGTTATATGCTGCTGTTTGTCTGCTTCATTCATCTGTCTCGGTTTTATGTCAACTACAATTTTATTACAATCTGATCTTGGGGTTGTATTTGATGGTTGTAGGCTTTTAGGCAGATGGTTATAGGATTTTATTTTGTCCAAACTATTGCTACTATCACTATAATTAGTCTTACAGTTGATATTGTGCTGTATGCGTTTTTGTTCATTATAATCAAGAGATTTTCTAACAGGTGATGCACGATACAGTTGATCTTCTTGATAACGTCCAGGCGACTTGAAAATGCTACGATCGTATTCATCAGTTACATCAAAGTGAGAATGATTTTTAAATTCTGAGCTAACGAAATGTGGTGTTGAACACTTATCTAATGAAACACAAGAATAAGCAGGTGCTGGTGTTAAATGTTTCGATTTTTTCCGTTTCGACGTTGTACGTCCACAACCACTACAAACATAAGTACGCACTTTATCATCAAACGATTTTGTATTCAGACTGTTATCACCACAATCTTTATGGTTATAACGATGATGCGAATGATGACGGTGATGATTTTGACGATGCTGTTGTTGCTGCTGATGAGGATGATGACGATGACTTGATTGTCCATATCTGTCCATGATATTGTGCATATTGGTCAAAGAATTTGAATTCGGTGAAGGAATAACAAACATTGCAGTCTTATACAAACCAATCTCTGCAGTCTGTTCTACATACTTATTAGATGGTAAGCCTGTACAAAGTGAACGAGTTGATGATGAATGTTTTTCATGATTGCCTATAGACTTTGATGTTGATATTCCTTCCAGATGAGAAAATTTTGACTGATTCTGCAAATTATGAAGAAGTGAACGTCTAGGTGACGCAACAGCCCCAATGAATTCATGAGCATCATTATTACTCAATGTATTTTGATGGTCATAATTTGCTTTAAATGGATTTGAATGAGATCTTACAGAGGAATAGAATTTTAAGTCATCACTTCCAGGATTACGGTTAAATGAACTTGAAATTGTATTGAATCTTGAGTGAGATCTGTTTTTGCTATTATTATTATTATTATTATTAAGACTCTTGTTGCTGTGGTTAGGACTTCGAAAGTTGTTCAGTTCAATCTCATAGCTCGATCGAACACTGTAGTTTCCATTGGATGGTCCATTTGTTTGAAGATGATGATAACGTTGTAAGGTGTTTCTAGCCTGAGAATGTTCTAGGTCACGATACTTTACCACAGGATCTACATTCATCATTTCTAGTTTATCCTCTGTATAGATCTTTGGCGCTGAGACTGGACGATATTGTTCACTAGAATTATGTTTCCAGTAATGGCTATTTGGAGTATAAATAATAGTCTGTTCAAATTTGCAAGGAGATAGAGTATCTCGATCAACTGATGGTTGTTGCTTGGCTGGTAAGGTGTATGTGCCTGAAGTAAGCGTTGATTCACCAACTGAGGAGCCTATAAAATTGTCAAAAATGAACAATGGATTTGTGAGATCAGAAATAAAATCACGAAAACTGATTGTTTAAAAAATGCATGAAACTTTTATACCTGGTGACATATACTACTGTGCAACATGAGTAGTTAGGAAGTAGTTACAGTGATCCATAAATTTCACTAACCTGATTCAAATGAGCCGGGCTCATAACTGATTTACCTGAAGAAATTCGCATCATGGGGAATTCGAACAGTTCAGAGCAGTCTAATCTGCTTAACTGACCAGCCGATTAGTTAGACTGAATACACCCTTAACAATGTGCATACAGATACAGTTTACTCCTAATACCACTTGAGTGTTACGCATAAGGAAATCTGTTGCGTAACCACTTCAAGTTAGGGAGCTCAATTGCTAAACGAAACTCTGATGAGACTCATCAACAACAGTCACCTATGATTATGAACGGCTTCTAACCTAAAACCTTCAGGCTTCTTGGTATTTAAAGTACCACCCATTGAGACGTGATCCAGTTATCTATATATCTACAACTTGATACTCGCAAAAACCTATTACTCTCGTAATGGTGGATCAAGTTTTTCTTTTTGACGGTAAAACTCTTTGCAAATCAAACACGATTTACACAGTGAACCATTTTCGATGTTTCAATCACTGAGTCAGCTAGAAATCCTGCACACCTACAAATATTGGTGAATGTTTAAGCGTTCAGATAAGTACAAATACAATAGCTTCTCTACCTGCAATGAAATACAGTCATGGCTTTAGTTGACGGAATCCTTCAATTAGCACATTGAACATGAGCAAAGAAACTTTTCGGAGATGTCGAGTTAAAATGGTACGGCTGACTAATAAACATTGGGACTTCGATACTTTACATGAGCTAACCAAGATCAACTTGATGAAGCATAGATAAACAATAGAAACAGCAGTATACAATAGGCTATAAGACCAACCTACTAACCAAATGTTTAATTTGATTCATCGACAAACAGTTTCACCTAGTTACTATGTGGATAAGTAATACATAGCTGTTTGTTTATAGTCTCAGTTGTCGATAAAAGTGAAGTGTTTGAAATCAGAACCCTCAACATGATGTTTCAAACTTCAAGCGTAACTTGCTAACTAGGCTTACCTATAAGCACTAACATGAATTAATCTCCTTGAACCTTGAGAATCTCAGACATAAAGTAGAATCATAAGCTCTTGATTCCTGTGAAAAAGTGCAGAAGAAATGATTATTAACCTCTGTCCCCCTTCGCAGTATTGAATAACTGTTTAATAGGCATAGGACACTACTAAAAATCAACACAAAGGAAACTGATACTGGGGGATGACAGAAGAAGAAATGGAAACCAGGACCACAGCAGGATTCGAATCGCTGACCCGGTAACCTACTAACCAAGCTGCTGACCATATTTTTATTTCACTCCAGTCACTAAAAGGTTCGTCTGACAGCTATGTGAATTCGTGATGCGTTTCTACCACTTGATCGTACTAACATAGTTAAAATTTCTAGTTAGTATTCATCATAGACTAACATCAGTTGAAGAAACACTGAAAATCTGGGAGCACTGGACAGGTGCTTCGTCCTAGTATAGGAATCCTCAGAAATGTGCACCAGTGATCCTGCTAGGGAACGAACCCGGGACCTTCAGATCCCGCAGCCAGCACGTAACCGTTGAGTAACTGGGTCGGTATCCAATGGTTCATCTTTCCTATTCCTGTCAGTTCACGATACATCATGACCACCAGCCAATGTCATCGTTGAGTATTTGTCCTCACGTCCACCCGGTTTCCCCCACTGGTCACGACTTTTAATCGAAACTTCAGGAATCATCTCTCGGAGCTAGTCATCAGTTGATGATCTATATTAACTTGAAATCAATAAATACCCACAAACCCCCAAAATGAACAGGAAATACTGTCAGAGAAGCTGAAGGGATATTGGAGTAAGGTTAGCTGCTTAATACTGCATGAAAAAGGGTGACTGACATGGAAATCATACAACAGTAATACAATCCAGTAAAAGGAACATACGTGGCCACGTTTCCTACCTTCATAGAATCCTTGATTTCATCCCACTAACTTGTAACCTCTTAGGTACAGAGTTGCGCCAGAAATCCTGAGGTCACTGTTTCGAATCCTGTCGTGTTCTAGTATTCTTTTCACTTCTAGTCATTATCGCAACTTAAAAATGCTAGTATGATAGATGTAGCTACTTTAGACGGTCCCAACAATATTCAAGATTGCTTTCGTTGACTAGCAGTGTACGCATACAAAATCGATCACACCAGAATAGTTGCCCTCACTTTCTATCTTTTTCTACTGAGACTTCTGAACATTTTGTTGACTCGCATTGATGCATTTTCTCTCTCTGTTTATATTATTTTGTTTATTTCGTTATCCTTCCGTTTCTGTCCATCATCACCTTTTGTATTATTGCAAAGTGTAACAAACTAAACAACTCCACTTTCTTAGTAGGATCTATGTCCATTTCTGGAGGTTTGTGGGAATTTATTAACTACATAGTGGTATCCACCGTAAACTGACACTAGTTGAGGAACCACTAGTCACCTAACAGTACTGAACAGATATTTCAAACCAGAAACCGAACACAGGACTCTCCGGTTTCGTAGCCACCACGTTATCATTAAGCCATTGGGTTGGTACCCAATGGTTCACATTTTTCTGCTTTTGTCAGTTTGCGATATAGCATGACCTAAAACCAATGCAACCTCAGAGTAATTGTCCTCAAGTCACACTTGGTTTGCCCTACGGGTTGCGACTTCACAAAAACTCCTCTAGAAGCACTAGGAAGTTTGTGAGGATTTGTTGATCACAGGTCAATATTCACTTATGCCATAATGTCTACCTCTCTGCACTCTGTTATTGAAGACAGATAAGGGTAAATCATTTGAAACTTGAATGAATTCAGAACCCAGGGAATGTTTTTATAAAGTGAGCAGTGAAATTGGTTTCATGGATTAGTTACTACTAGGATAACTCAAGTACCTTCTAAATAAGTTAAGATCATAATAGTTATCTGAAATTTTCTAATATCGTACATCGTTCTAGTGCGTGTAAAAAGAAAATCTTGGAATGAAACTGCTTTTTATTATTTTTTATTATCTACCCTTAGGTTCCTAGTGGAACATAGGGATTCAGCAGCACGTCTCCATTTCACTCTCTTCTATCCAATCTTTTAAACCTCGCTCCACAACTACTCAGAAACTTTCATTTCTTCCTCATACAATCTCCTCCATGTCACCCTCACCTCGGACGACCAACTCGTCGTTTCCCACTTGGCTTCGACTCAAGGTTTGGTCTGACACACGATGTCCCAAAACCGTCTTCTCGGCGAATGTCCAATCCAATCCATCTCCACTTTCCTCTTCTGCATATTTGATGGGTGATAGGTTTTGGTTGTTTGGTTCGTTGCCAGCCAGCCAGGGTTCCTTGTTGCTTATTCTTGTTATTCTGGCCATATGATCTTGAGTATGAAGTAAACGCAGGCGGTAGATGTTTATGGATATTTGCAGTTTGTTGGAAATGCTTTCCATAATGCACCAACTCTCTCAACAGTCACACAGAAGCACTGACTTGACTAACTGAATTAGTGTTGAAAATCCGGATGTTGCTCACGCTTTATGCTGAGGCAGTGCAGTGCAGTGCAGTGGAGTCGAGTGCAGTAGATCTACGCACTGATTTCAGATTGATGAAGGAAGGCCTATCTTTCTGTCTTTCCGATCGTGGCTGGCTTTGACTTCCTTATCTATGCCCCGTCGCCTGTAGATGAAAGGATGCTGCCTAGGTATGAAGATAGGTAGGTAGGTAGGTAGTTGAAACAGACAACTTCTTTCGGATTTGTCCCGTTGATGGTGATTGGTACTTATTGCTGTTGGTGCGGCTTGGTATCTTCATCACCTCTGTCTTCTCTACATTCACCTGAAATCCTGTCTTCTCTGCCTTGCCTCTTTAACTAACTTGTTAGTTTTCACCTGTAGATCTTTGAGTTTGTGCAACAACACATTACACATAAATCATCATGGGCGAAATGTAAATCTCCTGGGGTCTTTTCATCAGTCAAATAGCGTATACCCATCTTCTCGCACCTCATAGTCTGTTGCATGATCCAGTCCAGTCGACAACAATCAGAAAGGTGATCGGTGATAGTTGGTGGAAACCTCGTCTTACTCCTGTCTTCACTTCAAAGGCGTCACTAAACTTTTCATTATGAATCACTTAGCATGTAGCATCATATAGCATATAGCTGCTGTTGAATGAGGTTGATAAAGGTTTGTGGCACTAAAACCGTAGTGCTGAAGCAGCTGCCAAATTACTTCTCGGTCGACGCTGTCTAAGGTCTTTTAAAGTCGATGAAGTTGAGGCAAATATCTAGTTGACTGCGATTCTAGGCTCTGTTCATTGATGACGATGCGTAGCGTAGCGTTGTATTTTGATCCACACATGAAGCCAATCAGGCTGTTCCGGTCGTAATTTCGAATCCAGTTTTGAAACTGGTTTCTAGTTGGCATGAATGAATTATAGACTATTGGAAGGTGAGTTATTTTACTGATCTTTAAATGTAGTAGTGGTATAAGAATTAGTGAAGTCTGTACTCATTTTTGATATCAGACAACAGCACACCGCAGCACGTTTTGTTTTATTGAAGCGGCTTAGCTAGTCCCAGTCTGCGTCAAAAGCAACCATGATCCCCATCACTGTTTCCTCTTAAACTAGTTTATAATCAGTCTCTATTAAGTCAGTATCAGTCTCATTTAAAAGTATAAAATATGAAAGGTGACATCAACTTTGTTTTACAAGAACAAACATCCTGGTTCAGATACTCCTAGGTGAAAGTTGTTTCGACCATCTCACATCAAAATCAGGAAAAAAAGGCTACTAAAGGCCAAAAGATACTATGAAACCGCTTTATCCCAAAGCACAAATCCTTGTCACACCACCCTTAAAACGCCATTCGATATATTCAAGGAAGGACCAT